ATATATATATATATATATATATATATATATATATATATATATATATATATATATATATATATATACCTCCTGACTTTTAGGTTCTCTTGGATTTCACGTATTGTGGGATCAGATGCATATTTTTTGAACTTCAACCTGATCCCATATGTTTCCGCACCATAGTGCCGAATCGAACCGCAAGTTTTTGTACCGATTTCCAAAAGAGTGAGACCTCATCCTTGCAGTAAAAATGAAAGCGTGGTTTTATGATTTTTTTCTTCCCCATGTCCATGTGGAACTACATCGATCAACCAGTACCCGTCGTCCTTTGCCATTCCAACCAGGCCCTGCACGCACCCACAAAAATTCGCCGTTATGATCGCTTTGCCGCGCCTGTGGGATCCGGTTTTGCTTTCACGTGCCATACGGGTTGCCTCTTGCTTTTCAGGTTCTCTTACGTTCTCTTGGGTTTGAAGTACTGTGGGATCATACGCCTGCATTAGGAATTTCAAGTCATCTCCCCAAGTAACTTGAATTCGGCCCGAGCCTGGGCGCCTACAGCCGCACGTTGGGTTGTGATTAGTGAATGCCACCCTTGAGATTTTTTTTATTTTTTTTAAAGGCTACAGCCCAACCAATTCAATTACCTGTCAAATCTGGACAGGACGGCCTTTCAGGCCTTTTTTATTGTCATTATAGTATTACGGGGAACCCCGTAGCAGCCACATCCGTGCTCAAGCCTCCAACGAGGGAACATGCGGGAGCTGCACCCACCAGCAGGTGTGATACCTGCTACAGCAGGTGGGCGATACAGGCCAGGGGTCAGCTGGTAGCATCAGGACCGAGCTTCTTCTATGGGCCAGTCACTGTGCCTCCCCTCCGGTCCCCGACCCCTATGAACATCAGCAGTCTGGGCTCAATGCCACTCGGGGGGACCAACGGCATATCTGTAGGTGGCGGGCGCCAAGCTTGCCCAGGAAGGTGCATGAGGCCAATGGGGGTTGAACCCAAGACCTCCTGAATGCCACTTGCGTGCCTTACCAATTGAGCTAGGCCGCTGGATCGCCCTTGAGATTTCTCTGGAGTGTACTGGAACGAGGCCATGTTAGAATGTTAGAATCCACGGCGGTCGTCTCGAATACGAAAAGCGCGCGAGCCGGTTTGGTTGGGTTGAGCTTCGGCAATTTCTAGAAACTCAAGACCGGAGGACCCGCTACCAGGTATGGACGGTACTGTATCCCAGTGCGCGTACAAATCGAGAGAAGTGTGTTTGTATTTATTTCATGACGTCGGCATGATGATGGCATAGATAAGACGGCTGGGAATTGCCTGCCGGGCCAGGTCTTTCATAAGGCGCACATGTTCCCCTTCTTTCATCAGCGTAGCTTGGTGGATCCACATGTCAGCCTCCGGTCCCTGTAACCGGCCGCGTCATCATTATGGGCACAACGCCAGGCGAGTAGAGTCAAGTAGGGTGGGAGGGGACTGACATCTCAGGTACAGGTAGGCAGGGAGGGCGGCTGGCAGGCAGTCACGCACGCACTCTGCGGGTAGAAAATCTTTGCGTTGGTGGTAAGTGTTGGATGGGGTATCCATTATTGTTTGTGGTCAATGAAGAGGGCTGGGAATGTCATTACTCCTTGGGCGGGGCGGGGGTTTTGCAGCTTGGTGGTCCGGGGGTCGACAAGCTTTGCGTGATCGTCATTTTTGGGGTCTCTGTTTGTCTCTTCCCTCCTGGCTCGTCTTCCTCTCTCTCTCTCTCTCTCTACCCCTCTGTCACTGTGCGTCTCTCTCTCTCTCTACCCCTCTCTCCGTTGCGAATTGGGTTTGTAAGGTAAAGATGTAACCAACTTTTGGCTCCGTCCTACCATCTCTCTCCCCCCATCATTCTCCCTCTCTGCCTTCTGTATCCCTCCCTCTTTCTCCCTCTCTCCCGTTTTAAATCCCTCGTTCCTCCCTCTCGCTCGTTTTAAATCCCTCCCTCTTTCCCCCGTTCTTCCTTTCTGCCGGCTTCTCTCATTGTGTCTGGCTTTCTCTCTGTGTTTGTCTCCATATCTAGGTTGCGAATTGAGCTTTCTGAGGTACAGGTGTAAGCGACTGCCCTGGCCGGTGCTGTATCGCTGTATAGCCATGTATTGGGGAGGACGAGGAGGGCGGCGTGACGGCCGACGATGGCGAGGGGGTGGAGGTGGAGGTGGAGGGAACCCCATGTTGTACGCACTTGCTGTGCAAACTCTCTATCAGTTCTTGCAGCAGGAGAACAGGCCGCCGGTTACCATCGGCTTGATTGCTGCGAATGCAGCCATCTATTTGCGACCGGGAGAGCTCGATCGGCTTCTACCTTCTACCCATGACGTCTGCCTCAACCCTTCAGCTGTGTTAGCGGTAAGTAAGTCCGCGCACCTTCTGACCCGCTTCTTTGTCCTCTATCCCTATCTCTCCTCGCCCTCCTCGTTGTCGTCCTCCTCGTCGTCGTCCTCGGCGCTCCATCTTCACTCCAACGGATCGCATAGTCATAAGCGCTAGCGCTGTGCGTAGAGCGGAAAGTTGCCCCAAATGTACAGCCAGCTATAATGACCGTGCGTTCTATTAGGGCGCACTTCATTTCTATACTTGTTTGTTAGTTTGTTTGTTATTCGATCGAGTGTATCTAAATTGTCGTCTTTTTTTTTTTGTCTTGATTCGATGATGGCGTGGCGGTGGCATCGCGAAGGCTGGTTGTCAAAATTGTCGTCTTTTTTTTTGTCTTGATTCGATGATGGCGTGGCGGTGGCATCGCGAAGGCTGGTTGCGGATCTGCTTACGCGCCTGCAAGGTCAACGAATGGTAATTGTAGGGAGGGTGTTAACTAGTGCATCAACTGGATGGAAACTGCACGATGCGTATGAAAAGCTATATAATCACGCAGGCAATCGAGAACTTGAGAGGAGAGAATGGATAAGTCAGCGTAGACGAGTGAGTGGAGGTTTTGGACGTCATATTGTTGGAAATTTCATGCGCGTGTGATTTTTCAGCTTTGACATTCGAGGAGGGACGTCCGATTGATGACAATCGTCGTGCTGGTGACAAGACGCTGTTGATGATGGCGATGATAGCGATGATGATGGTAATGATGATAATGCTGCTGCTGCTGCTGCTGATTATGATGATGATGCTGATGATGATGACCGTTGATGGGGAAATGCACGTGTGATATGGAGCTTTTGGCATCTGGGGTGGGAGATTATTTGTACCACCGTCGTCACCCGAATAGAACGCCCGGTAATTATCGCCGTATCTGGACTGAGAAGTTGCACCAAATACAGCTGTAATGACTGGTCGCGTTGTATTCGAGTGAACAGTAGTCTTCACTTGATGATGATGATGATGATGATGATGATGATGATGACGATCTTGATGATGATGATGATGATGGCGATCTTGATGATGATGATGATGGTGAAGTCGAGGGTGGCAATCATGATGGCAATGATGATGATACAGATGATGACAAAGATGATCGATAAAGATGATAAAGATTGTGATAAATAAAGACTGATCCATAAAGATCCTGATCGGTAAAGATGATGGTGGTTATATCATAGATGATAATAAACATGATAGATACAGATGATGATTGACAAAGACAAATGATTGTGTATAAAGATTGTGATAGGTGGAGTTCAAATTTAAAGATGACGATCGATAAAGATAATGATGCAGGTGCCGGTCAGGATGAGGATCAAGATGATGATAAAGATGATAGTGAAGGCGGAAGAGAATACGTGGTCTTGTTTGCGACCCCGGTGGTGATGAAATTGATACCTCGATGGTGATGCAATTGATGTCGATGCCGGTACTTCTGCTGCTGCTGATGATGATTGCGATGCCGACCGAATAAGAAAAAGGCGCATCGGGAATGATGAAAGCAACAACAAAGCGCGCAGGGAGGTGGTGCTGCTGCTGCTGCTGCTGATGATGATGATTGCGATGGCGACGGAATAGGAAGAAGGCGCACGGGGAATGATGAAAGCAACAACAAAGCGCGCAGGGAATGATGATGGTCATGTCATGGTCATGATTAGCTAGTGATTCTTTGTTGTCGTCATGAACTACGATGATTTGGGTTGTCCGTTGGTGCACGTGTGTTTTTGACGGTTGAGTCACACGCTGCTGCGCTTTTATGTATTGACGGTTTCCTCCATTGGTTTCTTTTGTTGCGCTTTCGCACGAAAGCGCTTCAACTTCACTGCTTTTCATCAGTGACATTGTGGGCTTTTTCTTCCCCCTTCCCCCTTCCCCCTTCCCCCTTCCCTCTGCCGTTCTCTCGTTCCCCCTTCCCTCTGCCCTTTTCCCGTGGTTAAAAATGCCATGTATTAAGTTCTTCGTGTTCGGAATCAGGTTTGGTTTTCTTGTTGTGATGGGGCACGAAAGAAACTTAAGAAATCACAGATGATGATTTCTTTTCTTCTCCACATGAGGAACTTACCTTGTTGCTTTTTTCCTCTTCCCCCTTCCAGCGGTGCTCTTTTCCCCTCTTTCCTCTTCTTCCATTCTCCATAGCGACATCGTGTTGCTTTCTTCTTCGCTTTACCTTCCCTTTGCTCCAGGAAGAAAGAAAACCAGACTTGCTTCCGAGCACGAGAAACTTGATTAAATTTTTTAAATAATCTTTGCAATAGTGAAACGTGGCCTTGCGTACGTGTTACCAGAAAAAAAACCATTTGATTATAACTCGGTATTGCGTACGTGTTCTCAGAAGAAAAACATCAATTTAAGTTATTTGTAAGTTTCTTTCGTGCGTAAGTTATTTCTTAAGTTTCTTTCGTGCCCCATCGGTACAAGAAAACCAAAGTTGTTTCTGAACACGAGAGGCTTTTCACCACGGATGGAAGGGGCAAGGTACGGAGAAGACAGTCACATGATGTCGCTGGTGAAAGAGCCCAGTGAAGCTAAAAGCTCTTTCGTGCCCGAGCGCAACTAAAAATGAAACCGACGGAGTAAACCGTCAGTCAATACATGAAGTGTAGCGGCGTGGAACTCAACCGTCAAAAACACACGTGCACCAACGGACAACCCAAATCACATAGTTGAAAACCAAGAAAAAAAAAAAGATCAATGGCTAATCATAGGCGTGACATGACCATCATCATTCCCTCCGCGTTCTGTTGTTGCTTTCATCCTTCCCTGTGCGCTTTCTTCCTTTTCGGTCGCCATCGCTATCATCATCATCATCATTCTCAATGTTCAGGACGTGCAATCATCATCATCATCATCATCATCATCATCATTCTCAATATTCAGGACGTGCAATCATCATCATCATAATCATCATCGTAATCATCATCATCATCATCATTCTCAATACTCGGGACGTGCACTTATCTCGACACACGTTCCGATCGTCTGCGCTACGGTAAACCCTCGTCAGGGTCTCCTCCTTTTCCTAGTCATGCGGCTCTACCTTCTTTCTTCCCTGTTTCACCTCCTTCATCTCTGCTTTCTTCTCCTTTCTAACACTCCCTCACGTTCTTCCCCTCAACTGTGTTTTTTTTTGGGTTTTCTTTTTGTTTCGGTTCTCTCCCATAGGTTTTCTTTTTTTTATGGTTTTCTTTTTCCGTGAATCCTTTTCGAACGGGTGTAGTGAATTCGTTTATTGGCAATCGTTTTTTTTTTGGTGGAGTGAGTCCCTACCGTCTTCCCCCGAACATAACGCACCCTTATTTTGGCTGTATCTGGCCGGAAATATGGCTTGTATATATCCATTTTTAGGGTGCGTTATATTCGGGGGAAGACGGTAGTGGAAGTCGGTTTGATCATGTCAATCGCGTTCGTGCACGGTCTTTGCATCAAGGTTCCAGGTGTGTGAAGGATGGAGGTACTATAGGAATTTTTTTTTTTGTGGAGCAGGAGAGTGGGCGAGAGGCCGAGAGGGTGAGATGGTAAGAGGCGCTTGACGACTTCCCAAGGGTTGCATCTTCTCAGAGGAGGCTCTTTAGGACGGAAAAGGAAAGAGACTTAACTTCCCAAGGGTTGCATCTTCTCAGAGGAGGCTCTTTAGGACGGAAAAGGAAAGAGACTTAACTACGAAGACGCCACCGTCATCTCAGTTTGTTCACTGAATAGTAGATACTTTTTTTTTTTTTTTTTTGGAGTATATATAAATGGGGGGGGGGACAGCCGCCGCTCAACCTACATCCACGTGGGCGGCCTTGTACGCAAGAGGCTCTGAAAACAGGGGGAGTTGTAAGGAAGATAAAAAAATAAATTCTTTTTTTTTTTTTTTCGCTTTTGCGCTCTGATATTCATGTGACAATATATATAGCAGGGAAATGAAAAATCTTTTTCAAAAAAAAAAAATAAAGTCTATTTCAATTGTTTTGTACTAGTATGTACTGTGTCTAGCAAGGAAAACGAGGAAAGGTGCGAATAATAAGGGGAGTTTCAGGGCGTAGTTGAACGCGCTCGCTTTCCGCCAAGATTTTGAATGCATCTTGGCAAATTCCACGTCCAAGTGCGTTCAAAATTTTGGCGGTAGTTTCCAAGAACAGGGCGAAAAATAGGTTGCTGATTATTTTCAGATAACTGTCCGGTGAACGAATCTTGTAGGGGGTTGAGACGGGGAAATGTGACGATCTATATCTGTTCAGCGTTCCCCGACTCGCCAGGAGGCGGGACCCTCAACAGTCTGTAGAGCTGACAATCCGGCGTCTCCCCGAATCGAACGCATGGTCGCTGTATCCCGTCGGCTGAAACTTGTTCCAAATGTAGATGTGATGACCGTATGTTCTCTTCGGGGCAAGATGGCCGATGCTGCAAGTGAGTATCTGCCTTACCTGACACAGAATCATTGCGGCCGTATGTGGGGCAACTTTCAGTTCACATGCAGCGATAAGGACAGTACCTTCTGTTCAGGAGGAGAAACGGGAGGGGAGGATATTCGTTATCCGTGAAGTTATGAGAGGGAGCAACGGTGGTGTATACACTCGCGTAACTGTTGAACCACCAGTACTTGGCCCAGCTATTGGCCGGCCAAAAAAATAGAGTAGAAACGTTTCTAGTCGGATGAATTTGGACGCTTTTGTTGTGGCCGGTACGTTTACTAAAATCGTGGCTTGGTAACGGCGACCACTTCAGGAAGTACTGGTGGTTTTAGAAGAGGGTTGCAACTACAAATCCTTAACTTAAAGACAACTCATTTTGAGATGTCTGCCTGCTGTAGTTCCTTCTGAGGGCGAACTCCCCACGTCACTCTGATGGCGTTGATGCGGACAATCAGCAGGGACGGATCATGTGATCGGAGAGGAGGGCTATTCATTATTTTATTTAAGTTGGATTGGAAAAGCCGTGTTTAACGTATCCGGTATAGGCGACCGTGCTACAAATCAACATCTCAGAAGATGTAGTTGATTAATAACCGAGTTGAACTGATAGAAAGTGCTCATATGTAATCAGCACGATGGATCTCGATAATTGGAGCTACCAATCAGTCGATCGAGTGATCGATCCATCGAACTGATCATACCAATCAGTCGATCGAGTGGTCGATCCATCGAACTGGTTATAATCACTTTTTATGACTACGTTTTTGTATATGAGTACTGTAAAAGCTGGTTGCAATTACGTTTCGTCAGCCATCCAGTCGTCGAACGGTCGTGGTCGGCCGTTGGCTTCTGCTTGGATTCATCAAGCGTCGGAGAGTGAATGGGAGGACATGTACGCGCGGATATTCTAAGGTAGGACGATTTCTGTGTTTTTTTTTTTTTTTTTTTTGTAATACCATTTCTCGATTTATGCGTGTCATCCTTGCACAGGTGGCATGCTAATCTTCTCTGTATCGTTCCAATTTTGACGGATGCCAGAGGCCATGCTAATCTTCTCTGCATCGTTCCAATTTTGTAAACGTGCATGTAGAAGTTCGGTGTGCATGGTCATGCGGATGGCCACGTGCATGTTCGTGTGTGCATGGTGATGTGCATGGTCCTGCGTATGGTTTTGTGCATGGTCGTGTTCATGG